AAATGGAATGCATTCCTTTGCGTTGTTATTGGATCTATTCAATCCATACACAAAACAATACCAGACATGTCAGATCCTCATTAAAAATTGGTATAGATTGTTGGTATTCAATATGCAAAAGACACTAATCATTCAGGAAAAACATGAAAAATGATCAGATCGTCCACTATTCCTCATAGGCAAGAAAATGTTGGTATGTATTGCCGACAGAGACAAATATAACATACCAGGCTGTCTTTTGCAGCATCTTACGTGTCTTTGGTAGTCCACAGATAAGGTTTTATATATGCTATACTGAGGAAGAGCTTCACATATTGCTGCCTAAGATGTTAGTTTTTAATGCAGCAATCTTTTCCTGTTTATTTGCAGTTTCCCAGTTTTCATCTATTGAGATCAGGGTCAATGTGCAAGTATTATCTTTTCTATAGCTGGTTCCAAACTTTGTCATTAAAGATGGAGGGTGATCACATTATTATCATGTGTGCCTTAGGCCATGACCTGTATGTAGACATGTGTTTCATTTTAATTCATTTTTTGGACAAAAATGTCATTTTTGGAGATTTTAATGTAAAATTTCTATCCACTGTTTGGGTATTTTTACAGCCGGTAGTAGCAGGTATCAAGATACAGAAGATGAAGTGGGAGATTCATCCATCCTCACTGTGTAGTGTGGATGGAGGAATCTGTTCAATGGTTTTCAATAAAGCATTTGTAATAGTTGAAGGGTTTTTTTTTATCTTGATGCATTCTCTGCACTAAGGTAAAAAAAACTTCTATTGTCCCCCCAAAATACTTACCTGAGCTTGATCTCTTTGTATGTATCTATAGACACACACAGCCCAGCTGGGGATTGTGGGGATCAAAGCAGCTTCCTATGGTGGCATACAGAGAAGAGGAGTTGCTAGGAGCACTGGTGAGGGACCTGAGAAGAGCAGGATTGGGGCTGCTCTGTGCAAAAGCATTGCACAGAGCAGGTAAGTATGACTTATTTGTGATTGAAAGAAATAACTTTACAATTACTTTTTAGTGTATTTCCAGCATAAATAATAAAGTGAACTTCACCTTAAAGGGATTCTTTAATGACTGGCATAGTACCACCACTGGATTGTCGAAGGCCAATATGGTGCCAATAGTTAAAAAGGAGTAAAAATATTTACCAAGTAATTATAGACCTGTTAGTTTAACTTCTATAGTTGGGAAGATACTGGGAAGTTTAATAAAAGACTACATAGATGAATTCTTGCTGGACAAAAATATTGTAACCAACAGACAGCATGGATTCATGAAAGACAGAAATTGTCAAAAAATCTGATTTCTTTTTAGGAGGTGAGCAAAACCTTGGACAGAGGGGTGACGGTGGACATGTTATATTTGGATTTTGCAAAAGCGTTTGACACAGTTCCCCACACATGGCTAATGTGTAAGGTAAAGTCTACAAACTTGTAAAAATCTGTATGTAAATGGATAGAAAACTGGCTAAAAGTTAATCGAATTCAGAGAGTAGTGGTTAATGATTCATACTCTGAATGGTCTAGGGTTGTCAGTGGTGTACCCCAAGGTTCAGTGTTGGGATCCTTACTTTTTAATATATTAAAAGCATGTGATCCTGTAAACTCAAAGTAACAGGTGTGGGCAATATAAAAAGGAGAGAGTGATCTGGGATTAAAAATACCATTTCAGTCTTTGCAGATGACACCAAGCTGTGCAGTGGACAGGATGTCTTATCAACAATCTCAGGTTTACAAGTCCATCTCCAGAGAACCAACTTACAAGCCGACCTCAATAGTCCGGATGGTGGATATGCACTGTTTAATTGGGCCAAAGTAAGCTATGTGGTTTACAAATGAGGTTTAAAAATGTTGATAAATGTAAGGGGTTTATGCACTTGGGGCTAAGAATATGCATGCATCATACATACTAGGGGGGTACAACTGGGGGGAATCATTGGTGGAGAAGCATCTGGGGAGATCTTAAAATGGTAAAAGATCACATGCTTAATAATGGCATGCAAGGCCAAGCTGCGGTTTCTAAAGCGAGCAAAATCTTTTCTCTTGTATTATAAGAGGTATAGACTCCAGAGAGAGAGATTTATCATTTTACCCCTGTACAAATCATTAGTAAGACCTCATCTGGAATATGCAGTTCCATGTTGGGCACCAATTCACAAAAAGAACATTGGGGAACTGGAGAAAGTACAGAGAAGAGCAACCAAACTGATAAGAGGCATGGAGGAGCTCAGCTATGAGGAAAGAGCTCAGCTAGAGGAAAGATTAGAGGAATTGAATTTATTCTCTCTTGAAAAGAGGAGATTAAGGGGGGATATGATCACCATATATAAACACATCAGTGGTTCATGTATGAACTCAGTGTAGAGTTATTCACCCTGAGGTCATCACAGAGGACAAGGGGGCACTCTTTACATCTGGAAGAAAAGAAATATAATCTCCAAACACGGAAAGGTTTCTTCACAGTGAGAGTTGTGAAAATGTGGAATAGACTCCCTTAAGAGTTGGTTCTGGCCAGCTTAGTGGATTGCTTTAAAAAAGGCCTGGATTCTTTCTTGGATACACAGAATATAACTGGATACTAGCATTCATAGGCAAAGTTAATCCAGGGAATATCAAATTGCCTCTCGGGGGATCAGGAAGGAAATTTTTTCCCCTGCAGGAGCAAGTTGGATCGTGCTTTGCTGAGTTTTTTTGCCTTCCTCTGGATCAACTGTGGGTGTAAGATTATAGCTTCTTTTTTTTTAATGGTTGAACTGCCAGACTAACTATGACTATGACCTTACCATAGTTTCACCTTATTCACTTAGCTAATTTAACATTAACTTTTCAAAGTGAATATTCGCTACCCTTTTTGTAAATCAATCCCACTGGATTAGGCTGAAAAACTTTTTTGCAGATTGGGTTATAATTTGTTTTGTGGCTTGTGTATATAGCAATCAAAGAGCATGGAAGCCTTTCAGCTTCAAGCTGCCCTGCCAGACCCTCAAGGCACTCTTTTCCACGTGCTGTTCAGACATCACAGGCAAGTTTCTGCAAACAATAGGGTTCATTTACTAAAGGTAAAGATCATTTGTACTTTGTAAAGTGTTCACTTTTTTCTTCATGAACAGGATGAAGTTGCATCCACCTCCATCATTCATTAATACACAAAATAGTCCAGGTTTTCTAAATTGTAAAACTATCAGTCAGTCAAGAAGGGTTAAAACCTTAGCCAGGAGTTCATTTTTAGTGTCTGTATCCTATTGGAGAGATGCAATAGGAAGTAAGAGGAACCTGCTACAAAGGGAGGGGAGATATTTATCTTGGAATGTTGTCACTGGAAAAGATGTCAGAATTGGAAGATTTAAGCTGGATACACACAAGAAGTGTTTCTGTTCAAACAGTGATTGCCATACTAACAAAAGCAATTTTAGTGCGGTGATCTACCTCTCTGTGCCTTTGCATTTTGACAGGGGAACTGCCCCATCCCTGCCAGAACACACTGATCAGCGCAGGGAGCCATTGAACACACGGATCAGTGCAGGGAGCCATTGGCTGCCAGTGCTGATCGGATGCTGGTTTTCCAGCATGCCCCTTCGACAGAAGCTTCTGTAGAACAGACAACTGTGCACAAGAGCCGAAAGTCAGCCTGTTCCTGCCAAACTGATCCTTTTCATCCTCTATCCATACTAGTGTGGATGGACGAATCTTCCTTGCTGGCTATTATATTCTGACAGCTGCCTTCTGTAGTTGTCAGAATATCTGAAAAGTGATCTGATTGGATGCAGTCTCTTTTTATCAGACATCTTCAACAAAAGTCAATGAAACAGTTGACTTTTGTTGAGCTGGGTGGTGCTGATAAGGGCAACTATGGCTTGAATTTTAGAAGATAAAGCAATCGGACACAATTAAGCGGTGTATAGCAACTTTAGGTCTAGCAATAGCAATGATAAAACGTAGTACATACAGTATATGTTTGCAAATATATAATAAAAAGAGATGAAAGAGCCAAACTGAAATGGATTCAGCTAGGGTTATACAAAATATGCAAACCATAAATCTCTGTTTCTATGCGAAAGTTTGATAGAAATATGTAAGGGTGTAAAAACATATTCAGAGCGTTACTCAGTGATTGAGAATCTTGAGTTTTAAGGTAAACACCCTCAAGCACCTTATATGAGAGATAAACATATATATATATATATATATATATATATATATATATAAAATTGGTTTTAACCACAGTCAGGCTGATTTACTAAAGAAGCTGAGAATGTTTACAAATTAAATTGTGTAATATTCACTTCAACTATCCAATCACAAAATAAGAAATAAGGAATTTTCTTTTTACTTTATTGGATAACCGAAGGGAATATTTACACATTTGAAATTTTAAAAATGCTTTTTTTAAATTTTTACATTGTCCAAAAAAAATCCCATGTTAAAATTAATATAACTATTGAGCAGTGCAATAAAATAAAAGTCAGATCTGCATCTGCAAACAGGCTACTTTGTATCAATGAATAGAGTCTTGTAGTCACGCTTTGCCAGCTGTAATTCTTGTAGCTAGTAATTTCCTCTCCTGGATGCCTTTCTCTTTCATTGTCTCCCAAGCAGAGGCTAAGAAGATCCTCTTACTGTGAGCTGCATGCTGTGCAATGTAACAGTTCATGCACACAATGGTATCAGGATACATCCTTAGCCACCTGACTGCCTGCTGTTCATTAGGGCTCAAGGGAAGGCTAAAGGAGTGGTTGATGATGCTCGGAGTGATCTCACTGCTTCCAGCTCATCTTTCATTAGGGAGGAGTTCTTTGCTCTCAAGCTGCTCCAATCAAAAAATCAGGAGGAGGGGTCACTGCCACTGATACTGTGATAAGAACTCAGACAATAACAACACACCAAAAAAGAGCGAAGCTAAACCAAATTCCAATCTGCTCATGCACTAGCTACAAGGCTTTCCCCAGGACCTTTTTCACAATGATGTCCATGAACAGTAAGCAGGCGTTCAGCATGCATCCGATCCTACATGAGCCTAAATATGCTCCACTCCATAGTAGCTCAGAAGCCATTCGCAGAGCTTGTCTTCCAGCACCACAAGTAAGTGTCAATTTATTTGTATCATTTTGGCTTATAAACTTAGACTATAAAAAATGCAGATCAATGTAGAGTTTTGTAAAGTAGAAAGTTATAATTGTAACAGACTATTTTGTATTCTTGTTAGATCCTTTGCAGATTCAGCTGGTAACAGCTAGAATTAAAAAATACAATTAAATTAGTTTTAAATAGAAGATGATTTTTATTTCTTTTTCGTTTCTAATCTGGCATACCTCTGTGTGCTTTTTTAAATACTTGTTTGGCAGCACAAATGTAATGGTTGATGGAATAATTATGCACAGAATCTGCAGCAGTTAGTATGACACATGTGTGTATTAGGTTTGTTAAACACTGAGCAGAAAGAATGTATTAAGATCTTTACACCTCTTCTGTTTTGCTTTCAGCTTCAAGGCAATCTCTTTGCTGGTTTTGATGAAACTTTACTGAGAGGAGCTGAAGCTTTGGCAGCCGTGGATATTGTTTCACAGAAAACACATCCGTTTAAACCAGATGCCACGTACCACACCATGAGCAGTGTCTCTTGTACTCCAACCTCTTCCACAGTGCATCTGCATCACCCTTCCGTCTTAACAACCCACCATTCACATCATCATCATCATCATCACCAGCCCTCACAAGGTTTAGACGGGGACCTTCTAGATCACCTAAATCCTGCCCTTGCTTTAGGAGGCGTCCCAGGACCAGATGTTGGAACGACACCCCTCCCATCCACACACCCATATGTCTGCCATTAACCACATGGCCCACCACACTCAGTCTATGAACATCTCTCATAACCATACATTGGCAACTCACACAGCAATGTCCTGCTCTGAGAGTGAAACAGACCCAAGAGAACTTGAATCCTTTGCTGAAAGATTCAAACAAAGGAGAATAAAACTTGGTGTGACACAGGCTGATGTTGGATCTGCCTTGGCCAACCTGAAGATCCCAGGTGTTGGTTGTCTCAGCCAAAGCACCATTTGCAGGTTTGAGTCCCTCACATTATCTCATAACAATATGGTGGCCTTAAAGCCTATTTTGGAAGCTTGGCTAGAGGAGGCCGAAAGAGCACAGAGGGAAAAAATGACCAAACCTGAAATCTTTACTGGGGGAGACAAAAAACGCAAACGTACTTCCATTGCTGCCCCAGAAAAACGATCACTAGAAGCTTATTTTGCTGTTCAGCCAAGACCTTCTTCAGAGAAGATAGCAGCAATAGCTGAAAAACTAGACTTAAAAAAGAATGTAGTTCGTGTCTGGTTTTGTAATCAAAGGCAGAAACAGAAAAGAATGAAATTTTCTGCAACATACTGAAAAATCAAAGCACTATTTTAAACTGACTTATTAACTGGTTCCAGTCTAAGGAAATGTAGATACACTCCAATCTTCAATTGTCTTCATACCTGGGCAAACAAATGAATTGAAAAGAATTTGGACATACAGTAAAAAAAACCACTTGTAAAGTTGTAATGGTGAGTGGAAAGCTTGGGATAGTCTTTGGTTTGACTTCTTTGAAAAAATGTCATGCGACTTTGTCAAACTAATAAAAAAAAAAAATCAAAACACAAAAAATCTAAAAGGAATGACAAATACGGCTAACAAAACTTGAATTATCAATCTGCTTCTCTCAGTTTGAACTACCCTTTTATATTTATTATTGTAAATATTAATCTGTGATGAAATTGCACCAATGGCTAAAGTTTTAAGTTATTACTAATTTAATTTTCTGTATAGCACACACACACCTTGAATATAATATAATTTAATTTAATAAACTTGACACCCATTGACGAAAAGGCAGTCTGATCCATTGCATGGTTTGCTTTACCTTCCTATCTAAAATGAATTCCCATTGCATTTGCAATAACTCTTCTTTTTCTACCTCATCATCTGCTAGAAAGCACATGTTCAGATCCATAAACTCTGTAGGAAGCAACTGAGTTCAAATAGTCATGACCCTGCTATCTCACTACAAAGATGCTTTGACAATCAAATGAGTTTGTTCACATTTACCCCTAGGTTTTGTTCCCCTTGACATGGATATGACAGTGTATGTGAAAGTACATATCTTTTCTAGCATTTTAGCACAATCTCACCAGTTTTGTGCGTTATTTTAATTTAATGCAAATGACTGATTACACAGGCAAGAGTTTTATTTTTTAAAGTTTAAAAAAGTTTAACTTATATGTAATCAATTTCTCATCAGATTGGTAAATTTCATTATTTTGAAAATGTCTAATGTTGCACTTTTTTGGCAAGGCACACATTGCTTGGCGTATAAAAAAAATTTCCACTTGTTTCATTTTTTTTTATGGAGTATTTAATTTTCTATGTGTGTACCAAATGAATTTTTGTGTCTGTGTATGCTACAGAATTTCAAATAAACCATGCACGATTTACCTCATTCTTTCTTGTATTGTTATTTTGGTGCATTTTTCCTGCTAATGAAAATTAGTTCATTTTGTACTTAGTTTTCTAGCTAAAAACATGGACTGTTTTGCAAACGTCCTAATTCCTGTGTTAAAAATACAGCAAAAGAAATATGATACATTTTGTTTGTTAACTAAGAAGGAGCACACTGCAAGAAGTAAATGTAATTTTCCAAGTTTAGGTTTTAAGACAATCGGGTAACTTTTTTTATGGGTGTTTTAGATAAGAAAAAAAACGTTTAAACCAGACCTACCACTATGCCATTTAATTTGTATTATGCCTCATTGCAAAACATAAAGGGGTGTTACCAAAAGCTCATGACATAATTGAGTTGAAGTTTTTAAGTGTTTCTATAGTATTGTTTCTGTGTATATTTGAAGTAATTATCTGTTTATTTTGAAACACTGGGAATTACAGGTGTTCGTATAACACATTTTCTGCTTATACATTCTACATATAATATATATATATTCACATTGAACATATTATATATAGATTATTCACATTACTATACAACCGGCTTCTCTTTTTATATAGATTAGCCCGATTACTGTACTTCTGAAAATTGTAGGAAAAAATTGTATGGGGGAAAATATTGAGTGTTGCCTAGGAGGAAAGGTTGCATACAAAATGGCTAAATGACACAAATATGAATGCAGAGATATGATGGAAATAGAAAAAAATAGCATATTTTAAATGTAAGCTTAAATCTATAAAATGTTATTCTTTTTAATGCTTTGTAAAACAGAACAAGTTATATTTGAATTTAATGTTCAAATTTGCCTTGGGCAACAAACAAGGGTATTCTGTACCAGAGTACTAACAGCTTACATGCATAGAGTATTTCTATATTTATCAATTATTTATATAATACCACCAGTTTCCTGTGCTAGGAAATTATTAGAGTGTGTGCCCGTAAAACAACCATGTATTTCATTTTAAACATAAAGATGTTGTGTGTGAGTGTTTGTGTATGAGTGTGTATATTTATACAGAGGTGGATCTGAATACAGGTGAACTTAAATTTCAGAAAACTGTATTACGGCTATTGTAGTGCTTTTACTTTTACTAAAATGACTTGGTATATTTTCAAAAAAAAAATTCAAGTAATAATATCTAAATATAAAGCTGTAATAATTAGAGCTTTCTGCTACATAAATGTTTGAAAATAGAACATATAATTATTATTATTACTATATTATACAGGATTTCTATAGCGCCAACCGTTTGCGCATATTAAGTTAGTAATACAAATTTTTCACAATGTATGAAAAAACAAATTTTAGCTGTCCTTGTAAATTTAGTTGAGAAGAGTGAACACAAGCTTTGTAACATGCTATATCCTTTATTGTACTAAAGTTAAAAAAAAAGAAAAAAGTAGTACATAAATTGCAATTGTCAACACAAAAATAAATGCAATAAAGTAAATTTTTTTGTATGATCGTGAACATATGTTAAATGTTCATGGGCTGAGTTTAAAAATGACTGTCTTTTGAAAAGACACCTGTTTACAGTTAAATTTATCTGAAAGAATAGAAAATTATCAGCAAACTTTTGTAACTTAACAAATTGAACAACGTAAACTTTAAAAAGCAGGCATGTTTTCTAACAAGGGTTATTTATTTTTTATTCTCATTTAGATTGTAGTAGTATAAATTTGCATTAAGTCTGACCACATGTAAAATATTAAATAGGTAGTACACATCCTATAGATTTCATATTGTTGTTTTGTAGGATATAAAAGTCTGCTCAGTATATTTATTTATTATCGCAAAAAGTAAATGGGATACAGGGAACTCTCAGAGGGCTGTGTTAGTTTGTCTGTTTACATTAGGCAAAAACATACACAGACTCTTCATAACTGTATCCTAGTTTGCCATTTTCTGGATATCATCAGTCATACACTGAATTAGGTTAGACAGTCTGTTGAGTCAGCTTTTTGAATTGCAGTGATATCTTCATGAAGAGAAAGCAAAAAATAAACAAATCTATTTTTTATTTTCTAAAATAAATATGTCAGGACTAAAATAATTTATGTGGTCCACAGATGGCTACACTTCATGTAGTTTTACTTTAAAAACCATGTATGATCAATATTGAGGTCAAAAGTATCATATTGATTAAGAAATATTACATTTATTACAAATAATACACATACAGAATTATTTACTAAAACAGTAATTTTCACACTGACCCTTTTTTTTTAATATATTAAATTATATTTGAGAGCAAATTATATTGTTTGAAATTTTTGTTAAAAACAGATCTATCTGATTCAGTGTAAAAAGTAAGTATCTATATCCCCCTCATATTTTTGTTCTTTTTGTTCTTGATTAAATTTTTATGTAAGTAGAAAATGTGTAGAAAAAGTAAATGATTTATTGTACACAAATCTGTTTGAAAATATATATAGTAATTATGTTTATTAGTATAGTATATAGATATTTCGAGTACTAATATATAAAGAACGAATCTGGAAGAGAGTTTTTCCTTTCGTCTGTATTTTAAACCAACATGAATTGCAGTAAGTAAAAGGAGCCTCATAAAATCAAAGAAATATTTCATTAACAGAAGAAATGTCAATAAAGACTAAAGCTAAGTGCACAACAAAGATGCTTTAGTAAGGATCAAAACATAGATCAGAAGGTTATCCCTCATGTATTCTCATAGCCAAAATTGATTCAAAACACTTTGTAATTTAAATGTAAAGACAAGACACAGCAAATGCAAACGCACAAGAGCAAAATATGAATAAGATCTAATTCTACATTCTAAGCTAAAGCTTGGCACCCATGTCTAGGTGTCCATAAGGATGGGATGATGGTAGCAAGCCATGATTGCTGAATAATCATTCGATGACAAATACCTGCACATCTATCATTCGAAAGCAAAAACAAAAAATTCAAACACATATAAGGCGTTATAATACCTAGTCTGATCTAAATTGTGCATAATTTGGATATGAAAGATAATGTACATAAACTATAACCATACAACTTTAGGGAATTACTGACAGAGAGGTATATATTCAAAGCCAAAGGCGCAGTGATTTTTATATAAATTCCTATTTAAACTGTGCCAGTTTTAACAATTTATATCAGTGCAATACCAGTCGCTTATTATCTAAACGTTTTGGGCTGTAATACATGGATGGGCAGATTAAAAGGCAGACAGATAGAGATAGATAGATAGATAGATAGATAGATAGATAGATAGATAGATGATATAGATCGTTCAGATATATTTACTATTTTTCTGTACTATTAGACAAAAATATTTTGCATGAGCCAATCTTATAATTTATAAACAGGCAAAACAAAACATTATTAACGATCTGAAAATAGTTTATTTATGGACTGCTAACTTTTTTTAGGGCAAAATATAGATGAATAAAAAGCAGTTAAAATGCACCGAGTCTACCACTAAATTAGGTATATTTTACAAATGAAATATTTTCTGAAAATGAAGCATTGTATCCTACATTAAAGTAGAAAGGAGGGAAATAAAATAAAATATGTGACGCATAAAATGACCCAAAGATAAAAATAAATAAATAGCTGAAATGATTAAATGATTCTCCACTTTTATATTCCGTTCCTGGATTTCTAAAGCTACCATGGAAGTTTTCCAGCATAAAATCCCAAATATAATAAATAATGAATGGCAGATACAAACATATTGATTGCTTTGTATACTTGGGAACAGAAGAAATTATCAGATATGCAATTTATTACACATATCACAGGTTCTGCTTCCAAAATGGGAACAAGGTGAAAACATTTACATACAAAATTGCAGCTAGTCCTTGAAGACATGCATTTTAAGCTTATAAAATAAATATTAATGTAAGAAAAGTCGATATCCTATTAACATAAAATGAATGC